AGAGGCCTCTTTCATAAATGGTGCTAAGTAAATTAAAGCAATCCATAGTGTATGTTTAGTATTTGGATTGAATATAATCTGCCATTTCGTTACTCATTCATTTGCTATTGAAAGGACTTTTGAAACTCTCTCTCTCTGCATCTCACTCTGCTTCCCTCCCTGCAGCTGTAAGCATACAGTCAGACTTTCTTTCGCCAAGCTCCATTTGGCAACAAAGACAAGTTTCATGAGTCAGAAAAGACAAGACTTTCTCAAAATCCTGGTATTATTTATCTTTTCTGTATGGAAAAGTTCTTCTATGAACTTGCCCTGACAGTGAAAAAATGCTGCAGGTGACATTATCTGTGGTAACTGAACTAATGGTACGAGTATTGTTCCCTTGTTCCCTGTGCAGTATGAGCTCCCTGTTCTGTGAAAGCCAGAGCTTGATTTACTTCTGATGCCTGTAATCTGTGGCCAAACCAAAGAATCTCTGTTACCCCAACAGTTTTAATGCTTGGTTGGCCAACACTAACCAGGCCTGCAGGAGATGGATGCAATGTGCACATAGCTGTACTGTGGAGCACTATAGCAATGTACTGCTGCACTACTCAGATGTATGAACCAACTTGTCATTGAAATGCATAATGATGATCCTGCTGTACTGTGCTAATTCCATGTGTTAGGAGCACTGGTCTGCAGAGAGGCAGTTATGAATTTATTGTGGCTGTCCATGAAGTGGTTGTCATATTCAAGTCCTGTATAGAATAGATCACAGCAGCTTACTAGTTAATGCTCTAGCAGAAAACTGAAAAAAGCAAATAGAAAACCAAACATTAAGGGTTTTGACAAATACTTTCAAATACATCTGCACGGAGGATGAGGAGGGGCAACAGTCTTCTAGCAAAGCAATGGTGTCCCAAAGCAAGTCCAGTCATTATATAGCCAATGAATGTGGGCTATGTTCCCAGAAATCACAGTGGTGGAGATGCCATTGGCCTAAGGTTTAGTATTCATTTATCTTTTGTGATACAGACTGCAGGTGATGGATTTGGACATGAGGAAAAAAAAAGGATGTATGTGGTACCACTAGCATATGTTAAAGAGAAAGGTCAGTGTTCTTTATCACATGAAATAGTGCTTCTCCATCATAAGGTGACAGATCTTACCTCATTAAACAGCCACCTAAAGATGGTGCGCTTTTTTCCCCTTTTGTTACTAGAATTTAAAAAAAAATTACTTGCCTCTAGTGCAAAAATCCCCATTTTTTTCCACTGTGTGATGTAAATACAGCATTAACTAGTGAAATATAGGTGGTCTAGAAAGGAGCTTTGCAGAAGGAAGGAGCTAATGGTTCACACAGTGCTTCCATAAAGGCAGCATCTTCCTGTAATTCTTGTAACTGAATATAGTCAGTTTCCTTATAATGAAATTATACTACGTACCTGCTTTTACTTCTCTGATCATGTGTGCCTCAAAACTGAGCTAATTTAATTTGTTTCCTGCTAGAAATTATTTATTCCAACTGAGTCAGAATCCAGTGAGTGTTTTAGACCCCAAAGGAATTGTTTGTTCTAAGAATTAGCTACGTGGGATGTGCAGTGAGTCCAGACTCAGACCCTTGAACAGATTGCTCAGCTGAAAGGGGGAGGGTAACTTCCTTTCATTATAAGATATCAATTTTAACTTCTCTTTAAAAGATAAATCAAATAGTATAACATGGTTGCTCTCAGGCCAGATGTTGGTATGTTTGGTTTTAGCTATAAGGTCACCCACTATGGTTGGGTCAGGAGCAGAATCTGTGAGAAATGCAATCTCCCTCTCAGAGGAGCACCACAGTAATCACTGTGTCCTAACAAGAGTGACAGTGCAAAGTTGCATTGAGAGTATGTTCAATTACATGTAGCATTTGCACAACATTTAATCTACAAACTATTTTGTAAAGAGCAAGTGAATAATCTTCATGGCACCTACCTGGAAACATGTAGTTGCACTTTTTTATTTTTGTTTTGCGAAACATAATGCTAAGTGTTGGGTACCCTGAATCTCCTTTGGTTTCCAGAATAAGCCTATAGCTTTTCTAGAACTGTGCCTTTAAATGATTAAGCAGCTTTCAAATACACATAGCTAGTGTATATGTAAAGACATAGTCCCTTCCCCTCTGAGATCCTTATCCAGCAAACATTTCCCTGCATATTATATTTTTATATGTGTGAGAGGTTCACATTAAACTTCCACTGGGAAATATTTACAGAAAGACCACACCTGCTGAGCTTCAGCCTTTTGGCAAGTGCACTATAGAGGCCTAATGGGAATTCATGGAGAAGAAAGGCTGCCTGCATTCAAAAAGGGTGTGAACTCTCCAAGCTCTGAAGCTATGTGCAAGTTTATATTTAGATAACCTGAAAGCTCTGCCTATAAATTGTCAGAGAGAATTAATGGATAGTGCACGTGCAGTTTATCAAACATTTGGTGTCTCAGCCACTATTTTCATGTGCAGAAAAGTGCATGCGTGTTCATTACTGATGACTGTATACAATAAGACATTTAAAGTTTAAAAAGACAAATTACTTGAATGTATCTGAATGCAGAAACCAGTGACCCACTTTCTTTAATAGCTGGGAGGCACTTTTTGTGTTCCAGCAAGTATTTCTAAAGGGGTTTGTGAATCAAGCAGTCCTGAGACAGTTCATCCTAGAATATAATACTGATGTTTAAAAGAAATAAAATGCAATTTCTATCTCAGCCATGGCTTCAGTTTCTGATTTTTTTCCCTTGGCCACATTTTCTTCATGGACTCTACTGTAATGTAGTTTTGAGAAGCTATGTCACATTTTACAAAAGAAAAATGCAATATATGAAGTATATATCCTTTATCTTGCCTGTCTACTCCAGGCTACAGCTGTAAATCTCACGGTTCTTCTTTCTTACTTATTTCTGATGAGAGACAGTATGAAGACATCAATGGCTTTGGAATAGTATGTATTATTGATTTATGTCCCAAAGTTGTTAGCAATGCTCTGCAGCTCTTGTCAGCCTTGCAGTAGCTCTCAGTCTTCTTTCCCTTCTCACCGAAGGCTCCTTAGTAGTAGTTCTGTTATTTCACTTGGGGTTAAGGTACAGCATGTCTCATAGTTTTAGCTCCTGAATCTTCTCCCTTACACCTAGAGATGGCATTCATATGAATTTGTAGCATGATGAGCCTTTCCTGTAGTCTCTAAAAATATGTTTGCTACCTCAAAATACTTTCTCTCAAATGGTGATCCAGATTCCTGGATACCATAGGTTTAAATTCAAGATATATTAATAGGCTCTGCGGGAAGTGAAGACTTCAAATCTGCCTTTATATTTAGCTTCTTTTATTTTTTTTCACTGGTAACTGAACCATGTGTTGTAACAGCCTGCTCATTTCTAAAGAGCAGTGATCCTGTTTCCTGCAGAGGCTGCCTCACTATGAACTCCCTTCTGGAAGATGCTGAGCGCTCTGGCCCTCATTCATCCAAGTCTTTGGATACCAAGCTGCTGGACTAAGATCAGGGCATAACACTTTTCAGGATATAGCTTTGTTCCAAGAAGGATTGTTCATTGTTTACTCCTGTCAGAGGATGGGTCCTAAATAAAGGAAATAATCTTGTCTTTCTGTTTTGTTTGTCTAGAAGAAGAGAGACTATTAACCTAGACTGGAGGACTTTAAAATCAGCTCAACTTACAATATTCCATCTGCTTTGCTCTATAATGATGTTAAGGTTATGATAAGATATTCTGTGTAAAAATTCTGTATATTTCTGTGTAAAAGTTAAATTAATAGCAAAAATAAATTAATACCAAAAAATAATCTAGCACATTCTAACTTTGTTATTATTTCATTAAGCAATAACAAACTGGGAATTTGCCAGTATATTAAAATATACTTAATAAATCCTACATTAATCTTGTGGTTCCCTTCCATATCAGCATATTTTGTGATTCTGTGAATTAAGCACTTAGATATATGTGGACTGCACAGCAAAACAGTGAAATAATTGATTCATTGGTACTAGTGTACCAATTAAAACAAACCTTTTCTTGGAAGGCAGGAAGGCAGTGCAACTTTGACTTAACACTTACACAGTAATTTAGTCCATGAACTGAGAGGAGAGTAGAAAACTGTCTCAGATATACTGGGCATATATTCTTTAGGAAAGGAAAAATTTTGGATCGTCTAACTGGCACTCATATATACACTGCATTTTAGTGTGAAAAAGGAGAATAAATTTTAAATGTGGCAGTGGTGCCATCCCAAGTCACCCACTTCTGTATCTATAGCTATTTGTGCAGGAAACACAGTAAAGCAGATCAGCAGCTCAATTTAATTAAAATTAACTATTTTCTAGTGGATTTTTGCTAACTGAACTAATTCTCTGCATTCTGTGTGATTCACTCAGAGCTATATACCAGCATGTAGAAGTGATGCAAAAAGCCTGGAGGATTGGAATGCCAGCAATAACTTAACTTGGTAGTGGCACTATATACTTGTACCTGAGGTACCAGTGGAAACCTGCAAATTTGTTCTCAGTGTAAATGGGAAACAAGTATTAAAAAGACCTGTTCTAGGTAGATAAAAGAGCTTTGTAGTTGACTCTGAAAAGAACTTGACCTTCTGCCAGAGACTCAGCCTGTGGACATGAGGAATCTCGCAATTACTGGCTGTTCCATTTGTCAGCAAATACATTGTTGTAGAGAATGTTGTGACGATATGCTTCTTCAGTCTGTAAAGTGGTTGCATGTGAAAAGCCAGCCAGACAATAAGGGCTATAATGAAAAGCAAAAACACTCAAAAAGAATTGAAGTTATTAAGGCATAACATGCTATGTTATGTATATAATTTTGCTTCTTAGGAAGTGGCTTGCAGGTGTTTGCAAATCTACTGTTTCTATTAAATATTCTGCAATAGTTGCACTTGTGCTCTAACTAACTAATTTCACTCTTCACTTTTGGTTTCAGTTTCAGTTTCAGTTTGCATGTGATTTCACATTTCCCAGGTACTGGAGCAGAGATTCCCCTGCAGCCTATGGTGCAGATGATGGTGAGGCAGCTGTCCCTCAATGGATATCCACTGTGGAGCAGATATCCCATGGAGGACCTCACCGTGGAGCAGGGGGATGCCTGCAGGATGCTGTGACCCTGTGGGAAGCCTGTGCTGGAGCAGGTTCCTGGCCTGCAGCCCATGGGGAGGATCCACGTTGGAGAAGTTCTTGAAGGACTGTCTCCTGTGGGAGAGACCCCATGCCGGAGCAGGGGAAGAGCGTGAGAAATCCTCCCCTGAGGAGGAAGGACTGGCAGAAGCACGTGAGGAACTGACCAAAACCCCTTCTCCCCATCCCCTTGTTCTACTGGAGGTGAGTAGATGGAGAATTCACAAATAAACACGAGCCTGGCAAGATGGAAGTGTGGAGGGAAGGTGAATTTTAGATTTGTTCTTATTTCGCATTATACTACACTGATTTGATTGATAATAAATTAAATTAATTTCCCTAGGTTGAGCCTGTTTTGCCCATGACAGTAATTGCTGAGTGATCTCCTTTGTCTTCATCTTTACCCAGGAGCCTTTAGTTATATTTTCTCTCCAATGTCCAGATGAGGAGGGGAGTGATAGAAAGACTTTTGTGGGCACATGGTGTCCAGCTAGGCTCAACCCATCTCTGTCAGTAAAAAGACATTTTGTAAGTCCAATCTTTGGACATGTGACAAGATGGCATTTGTAATGTTATCCAGATAATCTGTAGTGATTTAAAATCCTATTGTGGTTTCTGTATCACTAGTTTTATTATTTGATTAAAATCCAGCAGAGCATTAAGGATTAAATTTGTCTGAGGATGAATGATTTACAATTAGTTAGAAAAAATAAAGGTATTAAAGAATATGTCAGGTTAATTTATTTGACAAATGAGTGTAAAGCTACTTACACAAACATTTCAGAAAAGAGCAGCACCTGGTAAGTAATAAATTTTGTAGAAGAAATGAAAAACGTAATTAGCAGAGAACTGTAAAAACAATGCCAGGAGGTGTAGCTAAGATCTATCTCACCAAGAATGCAGGGGTTGACTTCCACTGCACTCCACAGTTGTGCTAGGTTCCTCCAGTAGGTGACAGTCTGTAGGCTGAGGGATCCACTGGTAGGGAAGATATGCTATACTTGGCAGTTAGGACACGGTGTGGTGGTATCCAGCCTGGGATTTATACAATTAATTTGTATTACAATGTCTGCTAATGCCAAGCTTTTAGTATTTTCCATTTTAATGTCAATAATACTATAGTAACGTTGACATCTAGCTTTCTAAAATACTACCTGTTCTTAATTTATGTTGATGACATTTGTTGTTTCACAGTAGTATAGGAAACACCTGGTGGTGACTGATTTAAGCCACTCGTGGTCTATTTGAATTTGGTCATGATTTTGCTGCAACAACAGGATCAACAGCATAATTTGCAGCACTGTAAATGTAAAGAAACAAACTGTTCCAAAAAGTCTAACGCTGCAGATTTATGTCTGTGGGTATTGTTACCTTAGGTTGTTGCATTCAATTATTGTGAAGTGTTCATATGTTCCATATCCATTACTCCACATAGATACTAATTGTGTTCCATGTATTTTGACAGTCCTAAGCATTTCAGTTAATCTTCTGAACTTTGAAGAAAAGATATTGCTAGGCTTCTGAGCACACTGAAGTGGGAAGACAAAGAGACAATAACCTCTACAGCCAATAATATTAAATCATTTCTAGCTTCCATTAAGGACAATGCTGTCTTCTTCAGCATAGAGGCTATTGCCCCTATATCTGAAATTTTTCATAAATATCTTCTTAGCAGGTGGGAAGGACATGCAGATTATGGGAAAGGCAGTATAACTGGAAAGTGTATCAATGCTATAGCTGACAAATAAACAAACCATTATTACTATAGAAACCACACAGGCTGTCTGTGCACTGCTGCTAATCTCACTCAGCCTCTGCAGACACAGGGTCTGAATCCCTGCTTCTGTCTGTGGGCTTTGGGGTTTGGGGATGGCATTTGTTTTGATTTCCTAAAAAAGATTGCACTTTCCCTTTCCCTCATTGACTCTAGTGGGAACTGCACTTCCTCAAGGAGCAGAAACACCTCTTTTGTTAAAAGAGCAGTGCCCCTCTAAAAACATATCTAGGGAAAAGCCACATAGCTCCCCGTGAGAAATGTGCATTTTTCCCCGTGTCTTTGCTTTATAATTCTCATTACTAAGAAAGATAATGATAGAGGACTTCAGCTAATCAATGACTCATTATCAAAAGCAGGCATAAAGTGAAGAAGGCCAGTTTGACTCTACCCTCCAACATTGAGCTTTTGTCTAAACTTGCAAAAGCTCCCCATTGTACCAGAAAAGGTCACGGGGTGGTTTCTGGCCCCTCCCAAAACTGTACCTCTCTGTCCCTGGGAGTGGTCAGGGGAAGTTTGGGAGCTGGCAATGTCCTGCTTCAGTCTTCTGAGTCCAGTCAGACCTACAGGTTTGGGGCTCCTAAAATGCAATTGTAGATCCTCTTTTGAATGGTGTTAATATTCCCAGCCCACATAATATCCTAGTGGTAACAGTAGCTACGGAGTAATTTGGAACCTTTTGCTCTCCTCCGTTCTCAGCCTATTATGGCTTGATGGTTTCATGATCTTTCACATCTCACAAGAGAGGAGGTGCATTTACATTAAAAGCCTGGAACAGATTTTGCTATGGTAAGTTTGTCCAAACGGCTTTTAATTTATGTGAACTTTCAGAATCCGCAACATTTAGGGAGATTCACAGGTAATTATGTATGCATGCATACAAAAGATACTTATTTTGTTTATTTTGAATCTGTTACCTGTTTGTTTCATTTGAAGTTGCTTCTATTGAAAAAGACAGTAAAAATCATACCCTACTTCCTACGTCCTTTCTACACAGGGTTTTATAAACATTTTTCTTTTTCTTCTAGGTCAGCTGTTATCCAGAATGTGTTTTCCATTTTCTCATACTGAACTTCTTTGATACTCTGCACCCTCTTTATTGCCATTCCCTTGATTTATTTTATCATTTCTGTCATGGATGAAGAAAATTACACATCATATTCAAGATGTGGGACACCTTAAATTTTTTTAATGATAGCATAGTGCTATTTAGGGGGTTTTTTTCATATTCCTTCCTAATAATTTCTAACTTTCTGTCTGCTTTGACAGCTGTTTAGCTGTGAGGCAGTATTTTCATAGAAGTATCTATTTATATGACATGATTTCAGGCCATAATGGTAATTATCTACTCTAGGTGTACCACTGTATACGTTAAGCTGAAAATGTTTCTTCCCATACATATCACTTTATGGTAATCTCTACTCAATTTTATTTGCCATTTTATTGCCTGGACACTCAGTGAGTATCAATCACATAACACTTGCCACATATTTTTACAGCTTTTCACATTGGCCACTATTTTTAATTCACCTCAGTCACTAAGTATACCTGCAAATACTGTCTGTGGTACCAACTTTGTCCTGGAAAGCCTTTCTTCCAGAATTTAGCTTATGTGGTAAGAGTTTGAGAGAAAAGAGCGTACTGAGAGAAGAAATCTTCAAGAAACTCATTCTCATGGGAGGAAAATATTCCCCTTCCTTCTCCTTCCGTGCTGGGCTGTAGCTACTTTTAGAAACAGAGGACCTCACAAGGCTCAAGGGGGGATGCCCAGGTACTAGTGGCACCTTTCTCATGTCTTCCCTACATAATTGGATGTCTTCTGCAGTAAGAGAGACCTAATACATCAGCCTTCATATGCCATCTCCATGAGCTCAATTAACAGGAAATTTATTATCTAACTTCAGAAAAAACCCTTAGGAAATCAAAACATCTTCCCAGATGCCTAGACTTGAAAGTGTAGAATGCCATATTGAGACTAGGTAGCAAAAGCTAAAGGCTAAGGTTATGTTTTAAAACGTGCTCTCAGTAAATTAAAAGGGAATTTGACTGCTTGCTTTAATGAATGAAAAATGTAGTAGTTAGACTTGGGAATGATGCCCTCTCCCAGGCAGGCACAAGGATGCTGGAGTGCTCTCTTTCTCATCCAGCATCCAGGTTCCCTGATTCCTTACTTACTCTTTGCACCAGCCTTCTCAGACCCCGTCTCACACAGAATTGATGCTGACCTTGTACACAAAAGCTGATTCCTCATTCATCTTCTTCCCTTATCCATCAACAACTAACCCTAAACACTATGCCAAAGATTTCTAGTACTACAAGTCCTCTTTCCTTTGAGGGTAGGAGCCCAGGGGGAATTTCCTGCCCCTTCATCTCAAGCAGGCATGGGCTCTTATTTACTAAACCTGTCCATGTCTTCAGGCACATATTCCCAGATTCATGAGTTTTTTCTGACTCCCTTCTGCCAAGCCCACATTATTCAGTGATTGATTTTGTATCTAGTTTCACTAGTCACAGTTTTCCCTGGCAAAACTCTAAAGGGTCTGAATTTGCTGATGTCGTTTGTCTAGTTAATTATTTGGTTTAGTTTTTTTTATATGATTGATATCTCCACCAGAATTGCAATAGCTATTAAAAAATTGTGGCGATTTCATTGAAATACAAAATGTTGAAATACATCATAATATTCTGCTTTTGCCCTTAATTACTAAAGTACTTTATATACTTTCATATAATTTATTATTATGATAAGTAGTTTGACAGCCAGATACAGTAAAAATATGAAGGTGTTCCAAAATCAGATCAAAACCCAATGCTGTTTTAATTTGAAAACTGAAATTGCATGTCTAAGTTTGACAAGAAATACTTACCACACAGACAGCTTTAAGACCAGTGTGAAACACCTATATGATTATACCAGCTCATTAAATTCCCTGTACTTATTAATTTTGTGTCTTGTTTTCAGCTATATGTGTTATAGCACAAAGATTTGACACCACATGAGCAAATCTTAGTATTGATGACTGCTAAAAGAAGAGTGCTTTTGCCTGGGTCTAATCTGAAGTAAGATGCATTGCAGATTTCTTTATTACATTGTTCATTTATGTAAGAGCAGGTCAAGCATGAATGACATTTATGTGGATTTTTTGCATTCTCCAAAATCATGAAGTGTCAGGATAGGCCTATAAACTAAAGATTGCTACTTAATTGTCTTTCTTTTAGCAGCTGGAGGTTATTAGTATTCTGAAGTTTATATAGACCTGTCACCATTTTTGTGCTTAGGATTGACTTGTACTGGAATTCCAGATCAGTAGAAAACAAGGAAGGGAAAGAAATACAAAACTATAATGAGAAATACTGGATAAATAGAGAAGAAAGAAAAGAAAAGAAAAGAAAAGAAAGAAAGAAAGAAAGAAAGAAAGAAAGAAAGAAAGAAAGAAAGAAAGAAAGAAAGAAAGAGAAAGAGGAAAGAAATATTTACTCAGTGAATGATAAAGACATTTTGAGTCAGAGGTAGTGACAGCTTTGAAGTAACTTACATCTAAGTCTCTCAGAAAGAAATCCGAATTGGATACCTGGAACACACAAAAGAAAATAATTTGCAATTATTTTTACCCTGGTCCTGTCTTACCTGAAATCAATAAACAAATGGACATGTATCAGGTTTGAAGTTGGTCTGAAAGTTTAGTTTAAGTGAAATAGTTGACTTAGAACAATGACTGGAATGAACAATAACAACAGTGAGGAATCTCATTCTTAGCACTTACTCCATTACACTGATATTTATAATTGAAGGCATTAAAGTGTTATGAAAACAGTCAACAAAATGAGGCAAGGTAAGTAATTAATTTTAAATAAATGCTTCTTCACACAATTGTTTTATTATATTCTATTTTTAAGAAACTCATTATGGTACTATTGGTTCAGTTATTTTATTATTTTTATGCAGATTGCAATTTATGTCTTGGTAGATATATAAATTCTGTGGGCTCATACTCTATGTTGCTAATACTACCATGATGTCAATCTGTGTGCAATTTAATTTTTAAAGAATGTATTGGAAAAAATGACAGCTATGGCAACAATGGGCTGTGAGAGGACAGCTCAAATGGCAATTTGTCCTTGGCATATGCTTTAATGGGTTTATATTGTGTGGAGCTTAGGTCAATTAAATGTAAAAGCAGATCTTTACTATTACTTCTTTTTTATTGAATGTTGTATAAACCACAGTAAAAATTAACGAAGCTTCATTTATTTTCCCTTAGCAACTATGCCTGGTGCTGTGATAGGGCTACTGATTGTGGGTTTGTTCAGCTGATTTCCAGCATGTTCAGGGAACACAAGATGCTTTGGGGTGAATGAAAGTCTTAACAATGAAGCTTGCAGCTGTTGCTGTGAGCTTGTGAATGCCTAGACTGGGAAATAATACCCAGAGTAGATCATATGGCTATCACCTATTCATTTAAAATAAGCATCCTGTTTTTCTGTAAAGGCAGATAGACTCTCTTTTTTACCTTTTCTACCATATGACTGCAGTTGTGACTGTAGCACAAAAGTCATCCTCTACAGGACTTTCTCTAACTACTTTCCTACCTTTAGGAGAAATGACAATCTCTTTATGAAATCATTCTGCCCACAGATAAGGACCTGATCACTCTCTTTATCAATCAGCAGTGCCCGAAACTTGCTGACATTTCATCAATCACAATAAGAGATTCATCAAGTAAAATACCTGAGAAACATAAAGGGGGGCCAGTGGTGAGGGAGGCTGCAAGTCCAGAGGGCTCCATTGTGGAGTCTCCATCCTGTGAAATGTATTGGACTGGCTGCACAAATACAAAGCACAAAGCTTAATTTTGCAATTGTGTAATAGCACTGCATATGGAATTTAGGAAGCTATTTAAGACTAGCTAAATTGATTTTAGGGCTTTAGCTAATAACCATAACCAGGGACTAAAACCAAATTGGGTAGAAAGATCTCTGCCAACTGTTTCAATCTTACTGCTGTGTGCTGGGAATAAAAGAAGAATAAGAAGCTAAACCAGTTTAATTTTCTATTAAAAAGGTTAATAAATAAATCTTAGTTCTTTTAACTACTGTGATTTGATTACCACTTTTTTGAATTGGGTGATCTGGACAAATGATGACTTAACCATGTAGTATTTTTAGCCCATTGATGTTTAGAGTCAATATAAGTTAAAACCTTGATTTTAGAATTATCTTAATTTCTACATAGACAACTGACATTTTTAGAACTTCATGTCTAGGCAGTAATTTCAGTTTTGTAATGTTTGCTTGTTGCAAAACAATGGAATTTGACTTCTGCAAATATTAGCAGAACTGATTTGTTCTTTGGATAGCAGAATTAAAAAATCAAAACTACATAAATTAACACAGATATGTAAGCTTGACCCACTCTACAAATTAAAACCTTTATCCAGTAGTATTTCACACTTATAGTAATTCACAATGCTAATTAATAACCATCTCCTTTTAGAATTATGTCTTGGAAGCAAAAAAAAAAAGTTTTATTGAAGGAAAATATGAATATTTCATATAAGGTGAAATTTTCCTGTAGCCATCTCAAGAAAGACTCATTCTATAATTAATAAATTAGTCTAGCCAGTCGTGATTCTGTATGTTTTACAAGAAAGAGCTGATTCAGTGGAACTGAGTGCAGTGTTTCCAGTTCTTTCTGGCAAGTGGAAGAATAAAGAAGTAAAGAATGAAGTCAGGATCATACCAGGGGAATACCATCACATTTTTCTAATTAATTCTATTCAAGAAAACCTTAATTAAATATTTTAGAGTTAAGATAATAATGCTGCTAGGCAGCAATGCAATTTGCTGAAGTCAACAAAGCATGACTGTGATAATGTAAAGAAAAATTCAAAGACAATGAATATTCCCATTAGTCATATCTTATTCCCTTAGGATTTTATTTTCTGTGCTTTAGTTCTTAACCTCAGAGTCATATTCATGTATTAATAAATTACTAACAACTGTTGTTTAAAAATCTTGGCTTCCTGAGCCCAGTCAATAGTCCAGATGAGCAGTCTACCTCCCTAGGGGATTTTCCTATGTGGAAACTGGTGTGATCTCCACTCAAAAAATTTGCACATATAATTATATTTTCTACTTGTGTACGTAATTTGAAAATAATTTGTAGTGAATTTTT